TCCGTGGACCCCGAGAGGAAGAGCGAGGAATAGAGCGGAGGGCAGCGTTGAAGACAGTGTCATGAAAAAGGAGGAGAGCGCGAGAGAGAGGCAGAAGGGAGAGGTCAGAGAGAGCAGCACTGAGGGTAAATAGGGTCCAGTCTGCCTTAGCAAACTGCCACCTAGGGAAAGAGAGGGAAGGGCGAAAAGAGAAAAAGGAAACAAGGATGGGGAAATGATCACTTCCATGGAGGTCATCAAGAACCTGCCACGTGAAATCTAAGTAAAGAGAAGAAGAGCAGAGAGAAAGATCAAGACAAGAAAGGGTGCGAGTCCGAGAGTCCAAATGAGTGGGCTCACCAGAATTCAGAAGAGACAGGGAAGAAGAGAGGAGAAACGGCTCAAGGAGGCGACCCCGGGTATTCGTCAGAACGTCACCCCAAAGAGAATGACGACAATTGAAGTCACCCAGCAGGAGCACAGGCTCCGGCAAGGAGTCTAGGAGGTGTTTCAAATCAGGAAGAGAGAGCGGGACACTCGGGGGGAGATAAATGGAACAAACTGTGTACCATTTCCCCACAAAGATACGAGCAGCAGAACAATGGAGAGGCGAAGGAAAAAGTAAAGGAACAAAGGGAACATCAGCACGAATCAAGAGAGCAGAAGAATTAGAAGCCCCAGCAATGGCTGGGGGGGGGGGGGAGAGAAAGGAATAGCCACGAAAACGACCAGGACGAGCACCAAGCATTGGCTCCTGGAGACAGACACAAAGGGGCGAAAACCGCGAAATCAGAAGTTGGAGTTCGAGGAAATTGGCGTAATAACCTCGAACGTTCCATTGAAGAATGGACAACGACGAGAAGAGAAAGGACAAAAACAGAGAACAAGGAAGAAACAAAGGCGAAAGAGCAACAGAGCACGTTAAAGAATATCAGGGTCGGGATCAGGGTCAGCAAAGTCAGGGTTAGGGGGCATGGGTAAACTGAGCAAAGACGGAGGGAAGGAAACGGGAGAACAGATCAGAGGTGGGCGGGCGGGGTCCGGAGGAGGAGGAGGAAGAGGAGGAGACAACGGAGAGGAGCAGTCAAGGACAGCAGCAGGAAGAGGGGGAGTAGAAAGAGGGGAGCGCACCCCAGCAAGAGCAGCAACCGAAAGGGAAGCAGGGGCCAAAGAAACCTCCATAGCAGGAACAGGGGGCGCAAGCACTGAAACGGGAGGGGAAGGAGCAACAGAGCCAGAAGTAGGAGCTGAGGAAGAAAGCGAAGCCTTCTTACCCGCCGGGGAAGAGGAAGGAGAGGAGCCAGGCTTACGCTTCTGACTTAAAGAGACCGGTGTCCCAGCAACTACGTACCGGGCAACGGATTCCAGTGTCTCAACAGGAGAAGCCGAACGAGAGCACACACGACGGCCGTTAGGAGAGCGATGGACATCCGCCCGCACCGACAGGCGGTGGGGAGAGCCGATAGATGGAGGAAGAGGATGGGAAGGAGGATCGGAGGGGGACGAGGAAGAAGACACAGAAGACACGACAGACCGGGTAGAAGGAAGGGGAACCCCAGACAGAGGACCAGGAGGAGGATCCTTCGGGAGAGAACCCAAAGGAACAGAGGAGGGGGCAGTGGGCGCATCAGGGTCCAAGGCCCGGAAACGGTTGTGAGTCTGAGGAAGGCGGGAAGGACGAGGAGAGGAAGAGCGCAACACGCGAGCATAAGAGATATTAGCATAAGGCGGGAGCCGGCGAACCTGGCGCCTCGCCTCAGGAAAAGATAAACGCTCCCGGTGCTTCAAGTTGAGGACGGCTGCCTCAAGCTTGTAATGGACACACGCACGGGAGAAGGTAGGATGGGCCTCACCGCAGTTGAGGCAACGAGCCTGGGGAGAAGTGCACTCCGACTTAGAGTGACCTTCGCCACCACACAAAGGACAGAGAGAGACAGTCCCGGAGCAGCGGAGGGCACCATGCCCAAACCTCCAGCACTTGTTGCAGAGCCGAGGAGAAGGAATGTACTCCTGGACAGAGCACCTGGCACCAGCAAGAATGACAGAGGGTGGAAGGGTCCTACCATCAAAGGTAATCTTCACAACCCGGAGGGGTTGACGGCGACTACCACGAGGGGGACGAGTAAACGTGTCCACCTGGAGAATAGAATGGCCCTGGGCAGCAAGGATATGTCGAATATCGTCGTGGCAGTCGCGCAGGTCCCGAACACCGGTCGCAACATGGGGCGGGAGCAAAATAGTGCCAACACTGGCATTCAACTGAGCGTTCTTCGAGACCCGAACAGGGGTCTCGCCAAGGCAGGATAAGGCAGCCAAGCGGGAAGCAGCATCCTGAGAAGGAGCAGCAACGACACGTGTACCGAGACGAGTGGGGTTGAAAGTAATGGAGGCATCCACGGAATCAACGAGATGTCGATGGAGGGAGAAATCGTCAGGAGGCGCAGAATCAAGAGGGAGGAGATCAAAATATTTGGCCCACGAAGCGGGACCAAACAAGGCTTGATAGGTAGCAGAACTGGAAGGAATCGAGCGAGGGCGGCCGTGACGAGGACGGCGGTGAGAACCCCCAGAGAGAGAGGGGTTAAAAGGCGCAGTAGTTACAACTAGAGAAGGAGCCGCGCCAGGGGACGAGGTAGTCACCACTGGGGGCTTGGGGCTCGACCCAACCACAGAGGAGGGAGGGGAGCCAGGGGAAGGAGTCAGAGAGGCCAAAGGAGGAGCAAGGTCGGGGCCCAATGCAGCGGAGGCTACAGAGCCCGGTCTTCCAATACGGACCGACTCGGGGGCTTGGTCGCCCACCCCACGAGCCTGAGAAGGTAAACCAGAAGCAGCCGAAACAGGGGTTATCATCTTGACGAAAAGAAGAATTCATTCACGAATGTGCCCCCACACCCACCATGGAGCCACAATTAGAGGCAGGACACCCAACAAGAAGCTATCGCCGATCTTGTCGGGGCCTCCTAGGGGTGCGTCGTGAGTATACGCCCCACAAACGCCACCTTAAGAAACCGACAGTCCGTCGAGATCGGGTTCAGTGACGAAAGGGGGATTGACAATAAAAGGTTCCCCTCGCTCTCGACGTCGGGTACTACAGTTCTACGGGTGCAAGAGTATGCCTCCTCAAGCACCCGGGCGTCAAAATAGAAGAAGTCCAAGGGAAGAACCAGAACGAGCAAAAGGTCGGCAGGAAACGGCAAGCAGATAGGAGAAGAGGGGGGAGAAAAACGAAACAGAAGGAAAAGGAAAAGATGCCCAGCAGAATTGGAGAGGACGGCAGCAGGAGCACAAGGCTAGAAAAGGACAGAGGACTGTCCCAAGGAGCATCACACTCCGGCAGCCGCCCACTAAGCCCCCACACGGCGACAACGAGCTGAGCGGGGAGGGGTAATACAACTCACTGAAGACGCTGAGCGGCTTGAGAGGCACAACTAAGGCTTAGTCCAGCATGGGAAAGGAAGCTCTGAAACAACAATTATCTACCAGGTACTGGCAATAATATAATTACGTGAAGTGAATACGAAAAGAACATGATGGTACAGTGCGGTTTAAGGGGTGATCTTCTTTCAACCTTCTTATGGCTTAAGGCAGACGATTAAGGCAGCGTCTGGGATCATCTCGGACGTAGGTTCGAATCCTCGTCACGGCCCTTGTGGATTTGTTCTTTTGGCTGCAACCCACAATAGTTGCCTCATTCCCAAAGACCTGTTTACTGCTAAGTGAACAGAGCCATCAGGTGTAAGGAAACCTGCCCAAATGTTTCGTCCTGCTAAAGAATTCAACCAATAATATGGTCGTTAGTCGACTACAAGAGAGCAGACGGTTCTTCTATTACTACTTAGGTACAGCTAGGTTACAGCCGTGAGTGGACGCTCCTATCTTGGCCTCTTACCATACGTGTTTGGCGTTGTAAAATATATAAATTACCCACTAGCCTAGCGACAAGCATACATTTAATTAGAGTAATCTAAACAATTTTTAATTAGAGCAAGCCAGGGGAGGCTAAGACACCCCCTCCCCCTCCCCACCTCACTAATACAAGTATCAGAGTGAGCCCGTCCTGCTTGGTAAGCTGGACAGTGTTAAGTGATCGTCAGTGTCCACATATATGTTAATATTACCAGTTACTTTAATGTTAAGCGACCAGCTGATGTAATGCTGCACAACCAAGGTTATAGTACAGACTGGGAAAATTAATCTAGTTGTAAGACCTCTGAGGGACAGTAGAAAATAATCCTGTTTTTTGTTTCAAGTGACTGTGGTTCGAGAGCCCAGAGTGCACCGCGAGATCTTATTTACCTGACTTTACCTGAGGGGTCATATCTCTAGTGGCCTCGATGGGAATAGGAAGCCGGCGGCTTGTCAGAAGTCCCCACAATCAATTCATACTTACGAGTATCCACCTGTAGTGATATATATATCAGCACTAGTCAAGTTTTTTGAAGGGCATTTGGGTGAAATTTTGTTCTACGTAGTTTTAACTCACAACATTTGGTGCAGAATACATGTGTGCGTGTGCATGTGTGCGTGTGCGTGTGCGTGTGCGTGTGTGTGTGTGAATGTGCTCACTTAATTGTACTTTTCTTATTGTGCTAGCGGGGATTGGGCTTCAGCACTTGGTCCCGCCACTCATCTATTAGTCAAGTGGTATACATGTTTCTTAGCCTATTGGGTTCTATTATATCTACATTTGAAAGTGTGCGTGTGTTTTTTTTGTGCGTATTTGCATATATGAATATAAATATACAAGCAGTAAATTATTTAATGAAATCATTTGGATGAGGTGCGTGTATTTTGTGTAAAGATAAGAGTGCATACATGTGAATGTAAGTAGTGTGTGTGAGTGTGTGTGAGTGTGAGTGTGAGTGTGAGTGTGTGTGTGTGTGTGTGTGTGTGTGTGTGTGTGTGTGTGTGTGTGTGTGTGTGTGTGTGTGTGTGTAGTGACTAGTTGCATCACTGTCAGCAGCCAGACGAGTGTTGTGTGAGGGTCGGCCAGGGGAGCATCCCTGCACCTTACTCGGGGGACTACACAGTTAGCCAGTAAGATCCTGGTTGGCATTCTCACCAGGCTTATGATTGGCTGTGAGAGTGTCTGCGGGTTGTGAGGGAGTGCAGACAGTGGCGGCGACCAAGTGTCACGGCCCACACCACCCACTACACCGTCAGGGTATCTGCCCTGGTGTGTGCCTCGCTGCGCGGTAGCTTTCTGCTAGGGGTCCTGCTGGCTTATGCCACTACTGCTGTTGTTGCTTCTGCAGAAGCTGCTGCTGGAGGGCCTAGACTTGGGAGGGACGCGGCGCGCCAGTGGGGCTGGCCTTGAGCGCGGGCCGGTGTGCTGCATGCAAGGAGGCGGGCGGTGGTGCAGTGCATGTGTGGAGTGGCGGTGTGCACACGGCAGCAGCAGCAGCAGCAGCTGCAGCGGCAGCAGCAGCAGCGGCAGCAGCAGCTGGCCGTCTCGGGTGCACCAGCAGACCAGCAGCCGCCTGTCCGACCGGCGTGCGTGCGTGCGTGTGAGTGAAGGCGGCCGCCGCGCTACGCCTTCTAACGTAAACACAGGAGGAAGGGGGGCAAAATGATCGTCTTCCTGTCATTGTGCGAGTGAGCCTTACGGTGCGGTAGTGGCGTCCCGCGTCAGTCAGCCTGCAGGAGGCGCTGCTGCAGCTACCACCGCCACCACCACCATCACCTCCGTCACCACCAGCTGAGACAGCAGGCGTGGTGGTGGGCGGGGTGAGGGCGTGTGAGCGGTGGTGACACTGGTGATCCAGTAGGTGGGTGCCAGACCCCAGCTGTGGCACCAGCGGGACGCCACCCACTTCAATAACAAATGAAGCAGCCAGTTTGTGAAGTGATGTGGGGATCAGTTACCCAAATAAATGTACCTTGCATAATGAAGAAATTTCATCTAAGCTGAATAAATAATGTGACGCTTAAGCTGTTCACGAATATAGAAGAAATACAAAAGAATTACCATGACACCCCCGACCAATCTATCTTAAGTCCTTCTGAGACAGTGCCTTAGACAGGAGGCACTTAAGCAACCATAAGAAAGATAACGGAAGTGTCAGAAGAACTTAGGAAAGTTGTACAGTAAGTTGTGATTAAGTGAGGCTCCAAATATTGTATAGTGTTCCTCTTGAGAACGGTGAAGGGGGGGGGGTGTCAGTCCCCCCCTAGGGTTACTGTCAGCCCCATTACAGTGCCATTGCCAGCCCCATCACAGTGGCACTATCAGCCACACTTCAATGATACTGTCAGCACATCAAAATGCCACTGTCAGCCCCACCAGAATCACTGTTAGCCACACCACACCGTAATTGTTAGCTCACCACATTGACCCTGTCAGCTCCACCATACTGTCACTGTTAGCTCCACCATACTGTCACTGTCAGCCCCACCACAGTGTCACTGTCAGCCCCACCACAGTGTCACTGTCAGCCCCACCACATTGTCACTGTCAGCCCCACCACAGTGTCACTGTCAGCCCCACCACATTGTCACTGTCAGCCCCACCACAGTGTCACTGTCAGCCCCACCACAGTGTCACTGTCAGCCCCACCACACTAGTGTAGTGAGGCTGTCACCTCACCACAGTCTCTGACGGCCTCACAAGTGCCACTGTCAGCTCTACCACAGTGCCCCCGTCAGCCCCATCACAGTGCCAATGACAGCCACACCACAGCTCCAATGTCAGTCCCATCCCAGTGACAATGTCAGCCCCATCACAGTCTAATTCTTAGCCACACCACAGCAAAACTGTCAGCCTCACCGCTGAAATTGTCAGCTCCACGTGAGTATACCTGTCACCACACAACACAGCCAGTGTCAGCCCCGCCCTAGTGCCAATATCAGCCCCGCACCTAGTGCCAATGTCAGCCCCGTCCTAATGCCAATGTCAGCCCCGCCCTAGTGCCAATATCAACGCTCTAGTGCCAATGTCCGCCCCGCCCTAGTGCCAATGTCAGCCCCGCCCTAGTGTCAATGTCAGGCCCGCCCTAGTGCCAGTGTCAGCCTCGCCCTAGTGCCAATGTCAGCCCCGACCTAGTGCCAATGTCAGCGCCACCCTAGTGCCAATGTCAGCCCCGCTCTAGTGCCAATGCCAGCCCCGCCCTAGTGACAATGTCAGCCCCGCCCTAGTGCCAATGTCAGCCCCGCCCTAGTGCCAATGTCAGCCCCGCCCTAGTGCCAATGTCAGCCCCGCCCTAGTGCCAATGTCAGCCCCGCCCTAGTGACAATGTCAGCCCCGCCCTAGTGACAATGTCAGCCCCCAGCACCACAGCCCATCTATTATTGTCAGCCCTCATCACCACAGCCCACCTATTATTGGCAGCCCCCACCACCACAGCCCACCTATTATTGTCAGCCCTCATCACCACAGCCACCTATTATTGTCAGCCCCCACCACCACAGCCCACCTATTATTGTCAGCCCTCACCACCACAGCCCACCTATTATTGTCAGCCCCCACCACCACAGCCCACCTATTATTGTCAGCCCCCACCACCACAGCCCACCTATTATTGTCAGCCCCCACCACCACAGCCCACCTATTATTGTCAGCCCCCACCACCACAGCCCACCTGTTATTGTCAGCCCCCACTACCACAGCCCACCTGTTATTGTCAGCCCCCACCACCACAGCCCACCTGTTATTGTCAGCCCCCACCACCACAGCCCACCTGTTATTGTCATCCCCCACCACCACAGCCCACCTGTTATTGTCAGCCCCCACCACCACAGCCCACCTGTTATTGTCAGCCCCCACCACCACAGCCCACCTGTTATTGTCAGCCCCCACCACCACAGCCCACCTGTTATTGTCAGCCCCCACCACCACAGCCCACCTGTTATTGTCAGCCCCCACCACCACAGCCCACCTGTTGTCAGCAACACTGTGGCTCTGAAACGACCACCTCTGTGGACGGGTGTACCGCGTGTTGGGTGATGGGTGGTGGTGTACCGCGTGTCGGGTGATGGGTGGTGGTGTACCCCGTGTTGGGTGATGGGTGGTGGTGTACCGCGTGTTGGGTGGTGGTGTACCCCGTGTTGGGTGATGGGTGGTGGTGTACCTCGTGTTGGGTGATGGGTGGTGGTGTACCTCGTGTTGGGTGATGGGTGGTGGTGTACCGCGTGTTGGGTGATGGGTGGTGGTGTACCGCGTGTTGGGTGATGGGTGGTGGTGTACCGCGTGTCGGGTGATCGGTGGTGGTGTACCGCGTGTCGGGTGATGGGTGGTGGTGTACCGCGTGTCGGGTGATGGGTGGTGGTGTACCGCGTGTCGGGTGATGGGTGGTGGTGTACCGCGTGTTGGATGATGGGTGGTAGTGTACCGCGTGTTGGGTGATGGGTGGTGGTGTACCGCATGTCGGGTGATGGGTGGTGGTGTACCACGTGTCGGGTGATGGGTGGTGGTGGTGTACCGCGTGTTGGGTGATGGGTGGTGGTGTACCGCGTGTTGGGTGATGGGTGGTGGTGGTGTACCGCGTGTTGGGTGATGGGTGGTGGTGTACCGCGTGTTGGGTGATGGGTGGTGGTGGTGTACCGCGTGTTGGGTGATGGGTGGTGGTGTACCGCGTGTTGGGTGATGGGTGGTGGTGTACCGCGTGTCGGGTGATGGGTGGTGGTGGTGTACCGCGTGTTGGGTGATGGGTGGTGGTGTACCGCGTGTCGGGTGATGGGTGGTGGTGTACTGCGTGTTGGGTGATGGGTGGTGGTGTACCGCGTGTTGGATGATGGGTGGTAGTGTACCGCGTGTTGGGTGATGGGTGGTGGTGTACCGCATGTCGGGTGATGGGTGGTGGTGTACCACGTGTCGGGTGATGGGTGGTGGTGTACCGCGTGTTGGGTGATGGGTGGTGGTGTACCGCGTGTCGGGTGATCGGTGGTGGTGTACCGCGTGTTGGATGATGGGTGGTGGTGTACCGTCCGGTGGATGGCCAATGAGGGTTACCTAGAGCCTATGTTATGATCCCCAGAGCGTTTAACCTACTACACAATGTCCCAACACGACAACTGCTAATAACGAGTGTTCTTCCTCAAGGAAGGCCCGCAGAGGAACAACCTGGCATCACAACGAACCTCAGGCAGCAAATAAGGAAAAACGACAAAACGAGAAAACAATTGAAGCCAAATTTGTGTGTTGGGTGGAGAAGCAGGAGCGAGGAGAGTTAGTGGGGCTCTTACGGGAGAATTGGGCCTCCTGGAGGGAGCAGCCCCCGCCACACCAGGAGACGCAGACCCCCGCCAGACACCTGAGCGAGCGAAGGTGAGTGACACTTCTTCCTACGCTGTCTGGGAGGCGCAGGGCAGTGAGCGTCCGTTATGCAGGTCTCCCGCCCTGCCTCAGCCCCTCCTACACTCTCCCCCTACTGGCACACCTACCTTATCTTCTCTCTAAGTCTACGCTAATCTCTTCTCCCAGTTTTGTCTCGTGGGAGACCCTCCACGGGCGTGTCTAGGAGCACTCTGAGGGTGTGGCTTTGTCTGATAGCGAGCGGAACGGACGAAGTGTAAAGGAAGAATGGAGTGTTGCTCCGTTGGCCTAGACCTTGCCGGTCTCGACCCCGTTATAAGGAGGTGGCTGGCGGCAACCTCGCTGTTAGCAACGCCAGCGGAACATCCACCACTGCCTCCTGGAATCTAAAGCGTCGCAAAGGCAACAATTGGAGTGTGTTGCTCGTAGGGTGAGGCTGCAGGTTGTCCGGTGCCCCGGAGGGTGGCGGAGGCCAGTGTAGCACCAGCCCGCCACTTGTATTAAACAAGTACAGTGATTGTTAGTGTGCTTGGGACGGACCTTGTAAGGAGGCGGCCCTCACTCCCATCAAGATGCTACTCGCGTCTACACCATGCACACTCTAACAATACTCCACACCACCAAGTACACTATTTAAATATATATAAATACAAAAAAAATAAATATATATTTACAGGGTATTTACAGGGTGCGTCAAAAAGTCCATTCTAATATGGACAAAATAAGATTTTTTTATTTTATCTGTGGTACGTATTTTTCCCTAAACACACACACATACACGTTATATTATATATATATATATATATATATATATATATATATATATATATATATATATATATATATATATATATATATATATATATATATATATATATGGAGGTAGCAGGTCGTATGGGACTACACGTGTGCGTCTAGTTTACATAATAGTTTATATAGTTTACAGAAAATAACACATATAACAATCAATGATCAAAGACCTCGTGCAGGTCTTCGCAGGTTGGGTGCGTGCCCAAGATGCAACAAGCATTTCCTCTCTGGATCACGACACTGAGGCCCTGGTGCCAGAGTCACGATGCAGTTACGCAAGTACTTACCAACATGTACATCTTTCGTCAAACTTTGACGGCTTTGGTTACATTTATTAAACAGTTTACAAGTATGAAAACTTCCCAACTGTTGTTATTGTTATAAACAACCTCCTGGTATTTCCAAGCTCATTAACTTTATAATAAATGTAAACAAAGCCACCAAAGATTGAGAAAAGATGTACAGGTTCGTGGGTGCTGGCGTAGCTGCTTCGTGAATCTAGCCCCAGGAACAGGAAACTGGCCGCTCTTGAGTCTTTAGTTTGCCTAATGAGTTCCTCACCCACCTTCTTTAGGAACTTAAATGCACATTTAACCCAGGAGCCCAGAGTCTCTGGCCAATGAAGACGCACACGTGTAGTCTCATACGACCTGCTACCTCCATATATATATATATATATATATATATATATATATATATATATATATATATATATATATATATATATATATATATATATATATATATATATATAATTATTTATTTATATATATATATATATGTGTGTGTGTGTGTGTGTGTGTGTGTGTGTGTGTGTGTGTGTGTGTGTGTGTGTGTGTGTGTGTGTGTGTGTATTATATTGCTAACCGTATTGTGGATAATAACATTTCCTTTACCTGGACAATTGGAGCCTTGAACCTCAGACCACACAATCAGCAGCCTACAGCTCTACCTACTGAGCCTCCAGCACCCTTTAATAATTAAGGAAGGAGCCCAGAGACACCTACCTGCTGTCCAACTGAGGCCAGATTCACGAAGCAGTTACGCAAGCACTTACGAACCTTTACATCTTTTCTCAATCTTTGGCAGCTTTGTTTACAATTAATAAACAGATAGTGAGCTCTGAAGCACCAGGAGGCTGTTTATAACAATAACAACAGTTGGTTGGGAAGTTTTCATGCTTGTAAACTGTTTAATAAATGTAACCAAAGCCGTCAAAGATTGAGGAAAGATGTACACGTTCGTAAGTACTTGCGCAACTGTTTCGTGAATCTGGGTCCTGGTGACGAGAGTGGAGAGGGGTGTGGACCAGTAAGAGTGGGGAGGGGTGTGGACCAGTAAGAGTGGGGAGGGGTGTGGACCAGTAAGAGTAGGGAAGGGGGTGTGGACCAGTAAGAGTAGGGAGGGGTGTGTGGACCAGTAAGAGTAGGGAGGGGTGTGTGGACCAGTAAGAGTGGGGAGGGGTGTGGACCAGTAAGAGTAGGGAGGGATGTGTGGACCAGTAAGAGCAGGGAGGGGTGTGGACCAGTAAGAGTAGGGAGGGGGGTGTGGACCAGTAAGAGTAGGGAGGGGTGTGTGGACCAGTAAGAGTGGGGAGGGGTGTGGACCAGTAAGAGTAGGGAGGGGGGTGTGGACCAGTAAGAGTAGGGAGGGGTGTGTGGACCAGTAAGAGCAGGGAAGGGTGGGTGGACCAGTAAGAGTGGGGAGGGGTGTGTGGACCAGTAAGAGTGGGGGAGGGGTGTGTGGACCAGTAAGAGTGGGGAGGGGTGTGTGGACCAGTAAGAGTGGGGAGGGGTGTGTGGACCAGTAAGAGTGGGGAGGGGTGTGTACTCACCTAGTTGTGTTTGCGGGGGTTGAGCTCTGGCTCTTTGGTCCCGCCTCTCAACCGTCAATCAACAGGTGTACAGATTCCTGAGCCTATCGGGCTCTGTCATATCTACACTTGAAACTGTGTATGGAGTCAGCCTCCACCACATCACTTCCTAATGCATTCCATTTGTCAACCACTCTGTCACTAAAAAAAGTTCTTTCTAATATCTCTGTGGCTCATTTGGGCACTCAGTTTCCACCTGTGTCCCCTAGTACGTGTGCCCCTTGTGTTAAATAGACTGTCTTTATCTACCCTATCAATCCCCTTCAGAATCTTGAATGTGGTGATCATGTCCCCCCTAACTCTTCTGTCTTCCAGCGAAGTGAGACCAGTAAGAGTGGGGAGGGGTGTGTGGACCAGTAAGAGTGGGGAGGGGTGTGTGGACCAGTAAGAGTGGGGAGGGGTGTGTGGACCAGTAAGAGTGGGGAGGGGTGTGGACCAGTAAGAGTGGGGAGGGGTGTGGACCAGTAAGAGTGGGGAGGGGTGTGTGGACCAGTAAGAGTGGGGAGGGGTGTGTGGACCAGTAAGAGTGGGGAGGGGTGTGTTGTCCAGTAAGAGTGGGGAGGGGTGTGTGGTCCAGTAAGAGTGGGGAGGGGTGTGTGGACCAGTAAGAGTGGGGAGGGGTGTGGACCAGTAAGAGTGAGGGAGGAGTGTGGACCAGTAAGAGTAGGGAGGGGTGTGTGGACCAGTAAGAGTGAGGGAGGGGTGTGGACCAGTAAGAGTAGGGAGGGGTGTGTGGACCAGTAAGAGTAGGGAGAGGTGTGTGGACCAGTAAGAGTAGGGAGGGGTGTGTGGACCAGTAAGAGTGGGGAGGGGTGTGTGGACCAGTAAGAGTGGGGAGGGGTGTGTGGACCAGTAAGAGCGGGGACGGGTGTGTGGACCAGTAAGAGTGGGGAGGGGTGTGTGGTCCAGTAAGAGTGGGGAGGGGTGTGTGGACCAGTAAGAATGGGGAGGGGTGTGGACCAGTAAGAGTGAGGGAGGGGTGTGGACCAGTAAGAGTAGGGAGGGGTGTGGACCAGTAAGTGTGGGGAGGGGTGTGGACCAGTAAGAGTGGGGAGGGGTGTGTGGACCAGTAAGAGTGGGGAGGGGTGTGTGGACCAGTAAGAGTGGGGAGGGGTGTGTTGTCCAGTAAGAGTGGGGAGGGGGGTGTGGTCCAGTAAGAGTGGGGAGGGGTGTGTGGACCAGTAAGAGTGGGGAGGGGTGTGGACCAGTAAGAGTGAGGGAGGAGTGTGGACCAGTAAGAGTAGGGAGGGGTGTGTGGACCAGTAAGAGTGAGGGAGGGGTGTGGACCAGTAAGAGTAGGGAGGGGTGTGTGGACCAGTAAGAGTAGGGAGAGGTGTGTGGACCAGTAAGAGTAGGGAGGGGTGTGTGGACCAGTAAGAGTGGGGAGGGGTGTGTGGACCAGAAAGAGTGGGGAGTGGTGTGTGGACCAGTAAGAGCGGGGACGGGGCTGTGGACCAGTAAGAGTGGGGAGGGGTGTGTGGTCCAGTAAGAGTGGGGAGGGGTGTGTGGACCAGTAAGAATGGGGAGGGGTGTGGACCAGTAAGAGTGAGGGAGGGGTGTGGACCAGTAAGAGTAGGGAGGGGTGTGTGGACCAGTAAGAGTGAGGGAGGGGTGTGGACCAGTAGGAGTAGGGAGGGGTGTGTGGACCAGTAAGAGTAGGGAGAGGTGTGTGGACCAGTAAGAGTGGGGAGGGGTGTGGACCAGTAAGAGTAGGGAGGGGTGTGTGGACCAGTAAGATTGGGGAGGGGTGTGGACCAGTAAGAGTGAGGGAGGGGTGTGGACCAGTAAGAGTAGGGAGGGGGGTGTGGACCAGTAAGAGTGGGGAGGGGTGTGGACCAGTAAGAGTGGGGGAGGGGTGTGTGGACCAGTAAGAGTGGGGAGGGGTGTGTGGACCAGTAAGAGTGGGGAGGGGTGTGGACCAGTAAGAGTGGGGGAGGGGTGTGTGGACCAGTAAGAGTGGGGAGGGGTGTGTGGACCAGTAAGAGTGGGGAGGGGTGTGTGGACCAGTAAGAGTAGGGAGGGGTGTGTGGACCAGTAAGAGTGGGGAGGGGTGTGTGGACCAGTAAGAGTAGGGAGGGGTGTGTGGACCAGTAAGAGCAGGGAGGGGTGTGTGGTCCAGTAAGAGTGGGGAGGGTGTGTGGACCAGTAAGAGTGGGGAGGGGTGTGTGGACCAGTAAGAGCGGGGACGGGTGTGTGGACCAGTAAGAGTGGGGAGGGGTGTGTGGTCCAGTAAGAGTGGGGAGGGGTGTGTGGACCAGTAAGAATGGGGAGGGGTGTGGACCAGTAAGAGTGAGGGAGGGGTGTGGACCAGTAAGAGTAGGGAGGGGTG